TTTTAAAATTGTAATTTTATTTCCCATAAAATCTATTATTTTCTCTTTATTATATTCTGCACTAGCAAACTTATTTTCCCAACATGTGAACACCTTATTTTAACACTGCCTTTGCATGATAAGACAATATGACCCATTGCTTCAGTATCATTAATCAAAATTGACTTGATTCTGTACAAAATCGGTGACTTTCTGTTCAGCACTTAGAGTTAACCTGTTTTTAAGGGATCCGAGTTGACACCATGGCAGTTCCCATTATACTGCTGCATAAACACTGAGGACTGGATGAAGCACTGCTGCCTTGTGTCCCCAAAAGACCCTGAGCCCCATGTTTAAACTGCTCTCAGGTTCTCACTCCATTGGATCCTGTGTGTTACTCTGAAGTGGTGTTTCCAGATTTTGCTCATTAAACCACCACTGAAGGGAGTTGGTAGGCAGGGAACAGAGTGAATCACAGAGTATAAACTTGAAGGCAGTAGTGGATATTTGAACTCCTGCTGTGACAAGATACGGGTGAAGCAGAGACCCTGGCTTAAATTTCCCGACCCAGCTCTGTCATATTCTGGTTCACAATGACAAAGGAACGTGGTCTAAAGCCCAGTTACTTTGGCAGTAAGTGGGCAGGATGCAGGATGGTGGGAATTGATAAGAGCATCTCTGGCAGGAGAATACATTGAACTGAAGTTCAGATGACCTTGAGTGAGAGGCCATAAAACTGCTAAGTTTTTCACTGGTGCCAAAAATTAGGTGGGTCCTTGAAGCACAGCTTTTGGTATCCTAACAGACAAAAGGAAAACTTTCTGTTGTCCTGGCATTGCAGCACAGAAGAGGACAGGCAATCATTCCGTAGTAGCCTGATGAAAGTAAATGAATTCCTGTATCTGACAGCATACAGACAGCTGCAGCATTTCTGACATGTCTGATCACCTTTGACTTCCAAAAATAAGTTTCTCATTTACAGTGAGTGGACTGGGTATGAACTTGGACCTGTGGAGCCTAAGCAAGGTGCCATAGTTAAATCAGCCACCTTATTAATCTACAACAAATGTAAACATCACAGGAAAACACAGGGATAAATTTGTCAACCTCCAGACATCAGTGCAAGTTCCTGCTCCTCACCTTTTGACTTCCTGATATACTGCATCAATGGCAGAGATGGAAAAATGCTTTTTATTTTTCTGGCTTACCTCTAGTGAAAGTGAAGAGTCATTGTCTTTGACTTAATTAAAAAAAACACCACAAAACAATAATTAGAAACCAGCTACAGTCAGGCACATAGACAGGATTAGAGCATTCCCTTGATAGTGTTTGTGTCACTTCACAAGACTAATTTACTACTGTTTTACAAATATAAATGCCCTCTAGCATATCCACTTGTCTGCTGTCTTCATGAGAATGATTGACAAATCCTAAAAGCCTTCCTCTCCCTTGCCCAATTTAGTGGGCTGAACATTTTCCCCTGTGACATCCTGGGTCAAACTTTCCTTTTTTTCTTCTTAATGCTTCTGAAAGCAACATCTACAAGCAGATAGATGTAAGCTACCTTGCCACAGCAAGCTCTGAGAGTTTGTGACATAGAACCATTTTTGTAATACCCAACCCTTTTTCTTTTTGCTACCAGTCCTGTGCAAAGTGTCCTCCAAGCACTGTCATCAATGTTGTTGAGAAGAAACTTTATGAAAAATTCCTAGAGCAACCCATAAGTGTCTTCCAGCTCCACAATAAGGTCTGCTCTGTCAGTTGGCACCAGTTTTCAAAGTAATGTTGAGGATGGGGTTACATCACTATGGATATTCTCTGAATTTCCAGACTATTCTGTATTTCTGTCTATATCTGTATCTCTTTGCAATTTTAAGAGAAAAACAAGAAAGAAGTGAAAGAAGCCTGCTACTGCAGAGTGCTAAGGCCTAACAAATACTAATTGCCCAGATGAGCCTCATCTGAGGCATCTACCCACAATCCCTCTCTCTATTAGCCTGGGAGCTGCAAATAAGCTTAGGCTGTTCTCTTTAGTTCTCTTTGAGGGATGTAGGCAAGTTTAGGCTTGTTCTTTCCTGGCTTTGTTTTGTCTTTATCTGGTGTTTACCAGGCTGTTAGCTGAACCTGTTATAGCTGCCACCTCTGCCTGCTTCTGCTCAGGAATGGTGACCATAGATTTTAATTCTCTTCAGTGAAATAGTGTGTCCTTGTTCATGTAAAGGGGTACACAGGATGTAATTCCTGTTCATGACAACTGGCTTGCACTCCTCTGAGCTATTTGAATGGAGTGCTTTAGTGCAGTTATGTCCTGAAAGGAGCCAAGCAAAAGGTAACCAAATTGTGAAGGTCAGCATTAAAAAACTTCTCAAGTGTGAAAAGTGGGTTTGCACTCTAGTGTGCAGAGAAAAAACAAATCTTAACTTTGGGCCTTTACATGCAGCAGAATTATCATTCCCTGGCTTACTCCACAAACATCAAAGCCAAAAGAGAAGAATGTGTATTGGAGTGTTGGATTGAAAGCCTTTGCATAGACATTTTGCCTGGAATGAAGATAATGAATCTAAGAAGGTAAGAAAGACATGACTTACACAGTTTGCAGTTGGTAACTTTGCACACTGATTTTAATTAAGGTATTGTCTTATGGCAGGCATACTTGGCCTGTTTCAGTACTACCAGCAACATTTCCTGATACGGATATCATGCCTTGATCCCTCTCTTGATGTCTTTCTATTAGGTTTGCCTTTCCTACCTCTACACCTCTAAAGTTTTTACCCCCATTTATTATACACTTTAACAAGCCTGATGTTTCTTACTTTAGATTGGTTCTTGGTTGGTACAGCTGATTTTAGTAGTTGTGGGCATCTCGAAGATGCTGTAGATCACAGTAAAAAAACCTTATATTTTGGAAACTTTTGCATAGAGTGGCAAGTGCCTGCCACTTGTCAGAAGTGGTTTGTGTAGCACAGTTGAAGAATGTCTGGTCTCATGGGCAGCCTTCATTGAAGGTCTTCTAAAAGGTAATGACTCCTACAAATTATGTGGCCTGTAGCAGCTGATGGCTCCATTTATAGCAGAGCTGCCCTGCTACACAGCAAAGCTGTTGCCCAGCCAGCTGTGTTGTGAACTCTATGACTGCCACTGGTTTCAGCAGCAGTGCTCTGTATAGCTGAGAAGTCTGACCTCTGCCCCTAACCTGTGGTGTGATCCTGGCTCCATCACTTCTCTCACTGTCTTTCGGAAACTGTTCTGCATGGTATAGGTGTGGAGTGCCTTGTGCAATCACCTCTGGGTGGGACACTGCCTGAAGAGGTTTCTTGGGGATTTTTGAAGACATGTTGTTTTTTTTCGCCACTTTTCTGTTTAATAACTATTTTGGCTTTAAAGAAAAGGAACAAATAGGTTTTGAAAGACTTATTGTAGTCTTTAAAAATAGCATAGTTAACCCCTCAAAGACAGTGAAGCTAACCTCAAGAAAGTTTCCTTGTAAGGGATAAAAGAAAGATGCAAAGCCACTCTTGAATCCAGAAAATTTCTTAAATCCAAAGCGAATTAATTAACAACAGCTCTGTGTGGGCAACCAGACTTGCAGATGAAAAGAAGTGTGTTTAATGCGTTCCTGTGAACCGTTTTTGGGTATGTTTCAGGCATCTTGGCAACCAGCATTCCAACATGCTGACATCCTGGACAGCACAAGCCAGGCCTTTCAGGGCTCCTCATGAAACATCCCTTAATCCAGCACTTCTGAGTATTGACTAACAGAGAAGATTCTGTGTTTTTGTGTTTTTCACATGGTAACATTAGCAACAGGTTTTCCTGAAACAACTTGATAATTTTGGTAAATCTAGTAGAGGTTAATCGGAAAAGAACAGTTTTTTATAAGGCTTAATAATAACTAAGTCCCCAAATCTTTCTGTTCATGTTTAGGTAAGGCTGTTTTTTCTTTTCCTCAATTTTGCACATTGTTCTGTTAATAAGTAAAGCTTCCACACAATCTAACTAATTTTTTTTTGTACAGCATAATCCCTTTCTGTAAGAAAAGCTATGAAATGAAGCAAGTAACAGATTTAAGGCTCCATATTTCAAAAAACTAGTATTTAGTACAGCTATTGCAAAGCAAAGTTCAGTGAAATGTGCCACATACATCACACTCAGATATAGGTATGTAATTAGTATTCTGCTTTTGAATCCTGAAATTGCATTAAAGCTAACTGAGCAAGGTTTAATTAAAATTCTAATTACTTCTTCATATTTCAATGATAGCAAAGCAGAACAAATCCCCAAATTTCCTCCCCTTTAGGATTATATCTGGTGAATAAATATTCATATTTGGCATGATGGTTGAAGCCTGTGTTTAGCCAGTGGGCTCAGTAGGTTCCACAACAGATGCAAGCCAGAAGAGTATAAAATTAGTTTGAAGGGTTGTCACTGCTCTCCTCCGACTGATCATACAATAAATGAAAAAATATATTAATTTCATCAGGAATATGGTATCTCATAGTGTGAACTTCCTGGTAGAAAGCTGATTTTTTTTTTTCTTATAGTGGGAATTATTAGGTGCTGGGCACTCCAGGAGATCTGGCCCCAAGTCTGTAAACAGCTAATTTGACCCTGAATATATTTCTCTCCTGACATTTTACATGTTTGTATCACCTGAAGAACTGGCTGCAAAACTACATATAAACACTCCCCCTCCCCCAAGATACGGTTCCTTTAGCAGAGTTGATCAGAAATAACAGTCCTGGTTCTGAAAGAGTAATTTCTGTATGGAAAACCAGTACTAAATTCTTTCTATTATTTTCATCATTTTATGTTTCTCTTTGAACCAGAGATGTTCCCTTTCACTTGAGACTTCCTTTTTCCCTTCACTACTTTCTCATGGTGCATGCTTATATTTTACCAGCTTTCCAATAGAAAATTACTCCCTCAGAGCTTTTCTGGTCAGCATTATTGTGCACAGTTGCAAACATGGCCCTCCTTCCAGGGGAGGTGCTGTGAAAGGTAGAGGGATTTGCTTTACTTACCAAGAGGCATTACTACAAAAAATGGAAGCCAGCAGAGAACGAAGCATCCCACAACTATTCCCAGGGTCTTGGCAGCTTTCTTTTCCCTGGAGAACTTGAGGAGACGCACTGAGAAATGGTGCTTGCTCTTGGGGTTGGATGCTGATCCGCTCGCTTCAGGAGCATTTTTACGATGGATTCGTAGGGTCACTTCTTCAGAATGTGACTTCTCTGTCTTCAGACCAGAAGTCAGACCTTTGTTTTCCCTTTTGGCCACTACATACACTCGGCAATACATCACCAAGATAATAGTCAGGGGGAGGTAGAAGGAGCCTAGAGCAGAGAACAACACGTAGCCGGGCTCCTCGGTGATTTGACAGATGGTCTCATCTTCTGGTGCTGGTTCCTTCCAGCCGAAAAGAGGTCCAATTGATATCACCAGAGACAATGCCCAAACACACAGTAAGGCCAGGAGGCCTCTCTTCTCTGTCACTATACTTGGATATCTCAGTGGGTAGCTCACCCCGATGTATCTGTCTATCGAGATGATACAGAGGCTCATAATGGAAGCAGTGCAGCAAAGGACATCAACAGCTGCCCAGATGTTGCAGAAAATTCTCCCAAAGGCCCAGTAGCCCAAAATCTCCATAGTAGCTGAGAAGGGCAGGACAGTAGAAGTCAAGAGGAGATCAGCTACAGCCAGATTAATTATATAATAGTGGGTGACGCTCTGAAGATGTCTGTGGCAGGCTACAGAGAGGATAACCAGAATATTACCCAAAACCCCAAAAACTATCAGCCCCCCTAGAAGAACACCTAGTAAAATGGCCTTTGAAATGTTCAGAGGCCCCACAGAATGGGTGCAGTTGGAGCAGTCAGAGGAGTTCTCAGGGAGGAAAGCCATGGTGAGTGGCTGATAATGTTCATGCAAGGCTGTTGTACTTCACTCCCTTTTCATGTAGAAAGAGTGATGAGATCAGTTCTCAGAAGGTTCTACAGGCAACATTTGCCTGACTTTGCTGGGGAAGAGAACTTGTAAGAACATTTTAGAAGTGCAGCACCAGGAACAATGAGAAGGATCCAGAAGCATATTGGAAAATCTACCTTTTCTTCCTTAGCGTTTACCAGTAAAACACAGTTAATAGCCCCCATTTTCAAGTAAAAATTAACTACTTTTGCATTTTTCTTGGAGTGCAGAAATGAAACTACACAAAACTGAGGCTATTTATCCTGCTTTCTGAGGTTGCATCATGAGAAATAATGGAACTGCAGGTTAAAATAATTTCTGCCTTCTTGGGAACATTCAATATTTAAGTAACATAAATATTCCAAAAGGTCTCAATTTTAGGTTTCTCCCAAGAGGAAACTAGTGATGCTTTTAATTACCTTGTGCTAGTCCTGGTTCAGCCTTACACTGGCTTAGAAGAAACCTGTTTAGGTGGAGGCTGCTGCTGCTGTGTCTGCTTAGCAGTGTCATTTGAGATACCTGCCACTAGCCATTTTCAGGGTCTGACGTGTCAATCAGAGCTTCCCCGTTCTGTGGAGCAGTTGTCAGTTGAGCTCCTGGCCTGTGAATTAAAGTTTGTCTGTATCAGCTTCTGGCTTGCTTTGAAAGGGAGAGTGAAGTTTGCCGTGTCAGTGATGCACGCTGTTGTGCTCTTTGGAGATCATCACCCCCCTGAAGGAGACAAAGACACAAACAATGTGATTCCCAGAAGCAACTGTCACTTAACTGCCATGGTTCCCATATAAGAATAGAGCAGGAGGCTATTTTAGGGAGCCTTCCTCAGGCTGGCTCCAGCCAGTGGAACCAACCTTTTTGAGCCCAGTATTGTTTAACAACAACTAGGAGGCCAATGTAGATTTTGTTGCCTGGATTTTTTCACCGCATTCTCAGCAGCAGACCATTCTCCTTTAGGGATAGCAATCAATCTTTAATTATCAGTTCACTTGCAGAGACCAGTTCTAGAAGAGAACGGAACCTGACGGACACAATTCAGGACTGTGAATTGGATTTGTAAGTCAAGAATTTAGTGGTAAGATTTCCTAAGTGACTCCTTTATGCCCCGAACTGCTGGTTAGTCCAGCTGAACTGCCCATTTTAGAAATCTATAGGGAAAAGCAATTCCTGCCAAGCAGATGTTGCAAGGAATAAGTTTCCTGCT